AACTTAAGTCACCCACTCAAGTTCAAGATGTATCATACCTTGATATTTAAATAGTCCCTTTGTTGCAATTTTTCGACATCAGCTTCCTATGACCCCAAAAAAAGAAAAAAAATAAAACAAACAAAAGAACATTTTAGGCAGTAAAATCCTAGTTAAAATACTAGAGGAGCAGCATATGCATTTACAAGAAAACAACATGTCAACAAGAGAATGCTCTTTGTCTGTAAACCCGTATCGTAGAGCTTACTAAGAGGCTTGAGAAGTAAAAGCATCAATAAATATTCTGAAGCAAAGAATATAATTCCTTAAAATTATGGCTTCTGCGTATATACACTCATTTCATATGAAAATATGTTTAAATAGTACGTATCTTATAAGTATATCCTACGGTTCTTTACTATTTTTTTATAATTTAGCTGCATATATAGTCACACCTCTCTTGTCTCTTTTGCATTTTTTATCAGACCATCGAGACAGTCGTTGATGACTTTCAGATCATTCTGGAACTTTCTCTGGCGAGGAACGAGCCATTTTGCCAAAGGGAACTTCCAGTAAGGAATGTAGAATGTTGAACGATGCTCCGCTTCGAAAAGAGTACCATATACAGCCTATAGGTGAAAATATACGTGATTCGAAAAATTGTTTTATGTTTGCTAATTTAACTAGAAGAGTGTGGAAGCGGAATATAATCATAATTCTTGAATCAGTGAAAATCAGGCAACTCAAAATGCCCAAATAATTTTGAGAAAGTTAAGACAATCTCCAGAGAAGGCCACAACTAATAATCCAAATCTATGGATCAAAAGAGGGCTGAATTCCCGCCATCTCCACTCAAATGACAACAAATAAGTATCAATTATGGTTGAAATTTAAAAGCAAACTATACCTTGATCACTGGTGATTCTTTCGTAACAGAACCAAAGTCATAATTGAAAACACCAAGTCCAATAATATCTAGTGCCAAGTTAGAAAATTCAGCTTCTAGGTCGAGTTCTATTTTCTCCCCTCCTCTTGAAGCATCAAGTTGTAAAAGGTTCTCAAATTTCGTTATCATTCTCTCGGAGCAGTCTGTGAACAGTCTGGCCATAGCTTCCAAGTAAAGTGAGTGGAATCCAGGAGCAATAACTGAAATTGAAACTTTATATTCACTAAACACATAAAAAATATAAGGAGCAAATGATCTTGCCAATATATTACAATTAGTTCTGGTGAAACATAACATCAACTACTTTTGCTGTAGAAAATGATGGGTTACAACTTACAAGACCTATTAACAAAATTATTTCTTTTCATATTCAAGTGGATTTAACCAAGAAAAAATAATAATAAAATAAAAAATAAATGAACAAATCAAGCTGTAACGGATCACCTCTTCTCCTCTGCTTCCAAGTATCAAGGTCAGCCGGTATCAGCCCTTTTCCCATAATTGGTTCCAGTATATCAGCAAGAACACCCTGGATATGTTTTTGGCATCATCCATTAGACAAAGTATAACCAATAAAGGTAACTTAACTACTGGCGTTGTGTCAATAAATTCAATAAACCAGTATCATAGTTTGTGGAGAAAAAAGTGCAAAATCTGTGTGCCATGGAAGTTTATGGGCCATAAAAAAAAATGTCTGATTTAATAAATACCCTAGGAAAATGGACTACTGCAGAAAAGCGTTTACAGGCTACGAACAGAAAAAATTTAAAATTATATTCATACCTTGTCATAGGAAAATGCATTTTCACGAAGAATATGCCTCGCGACAATGGGATCTGAGACAACAATAAAAGATTTCGGCCCGAACGCAAGTTTATACACTGATCCATGCTGCAAAATTAAGCCAAAACAAACTGTAATGCAGCCAATAATAAAGGAGAAATCACTCTACAAAACAAAAGGCTAACACGGGGACGTTAGAAAAAATCCGCTATTAGAAGAGGCAAATATATTCTGGCAAGTTATAAGGTAATGATAATCAAAAGTTGGTTGCATTTGCATGTAGAAGCTAAAAGTTGATTATCAAAACTTAAAAGAGAAATCAGAAAGCCAAAGCATGTTGGCAAAATATTGTTACATAAAAGAACTTGAGAGTACTTTTTCAGCCAGTAACTGATGCATGTTGCAAAAAGTTCTACCAAATTAAGAACATTAACTTTAGTTCATTGGAGACAAATATCAAGGATTATTCCTTCAGCCAAAAGACCCAACCTTTCCATTTATTCTGAATGCTAATAATCATGGACCTAAACAAGAGGGCTGTAGAAACTGCTCAACAGAAAGAAAGAAAGAAATAACAACCAAAAATAAAATCACGAAAGAACCATGAAGACACGAAAAGATAATTAAGCGTACAGCATGACTATTTCATTACAACACATCCAATTAACAATAGTACCGATTAGTGCGTAAGAATGTACCTCTAAGAACCAGTCATAAAGGGCGAAGAAAAGTGGCCTGCCGAACAGATCCGAAACTGCACCTTCTGCTATAGGCATATTTCCCATCTTTCCTCCACTCAGGAAATTCGTGAGAAGGTTGCTTGCATTGTCCAATAAGTTCATCGTTTTAGCTGTTTTGGTTTCATCGGTACCCGTAGATGATTGACACCTGTATTTAGTAAAAAGTATCATCACCGCTCGAAACTCCAGGCAATGCCACACCAAATTTCATCAGGAAACTCAGTTAATTCAAACTTATTCATGTATGTGTGTGCATGAGAGTGTGAGAGTGCATACTGCCCTTATCCACGAATTTTAACTGAACTTATCACAAACCAAATCCACATTATTTCCATCTCAAAGAAGAATTTCACTAACTTATTCAGCAGCAAACAGCATGAACTGAAAGCCCAATTCTCGGAATTAGAACCACACCTCCATTAACTAATGGGATATTAACTAATCAAGAAAACCCAACACCTCTGCCAAGATAATTAGCAATTGTACAACAACAATAATTTTATTTCATTTCAAAATACCCAGCTCCAAATTTCAATTTCACCACCAAAAATCAATCACGCTTCAGCTTTTTTTCACCTGATTGAAGAAACCCTCTTCGGCTTGCAGCTCAACGGTGAAGAATGAAAGGCGGAGGACGAGAACTCGCGCGAACGGTTCACGGCGAGGCATGGATAACTCAAGCTATGCAGAGCGGACGCCATTGTTGGTAGACTATTGAAGCTCGGACCTTTCCACTGCTTTTATTGCTGAAAACAGTTGACTAGACAAAATAAGAAATTCGGGTGATGATCCCACCTAGGAAAAGGTGGAAGCTTTTTTTCAAGGATAATCCATTAATAAAAGCCTCCCAAGCTCTGAAATTCTTGTTAGTATAATAAGCTTGATGATGCTAGCTTTGCTTTGCACATGCAGTAAGATTCCACCTATGAATTTGTTAGATTTTTTTATTATTTTTTTTAATGCCTTCTTCACGATTTTTATGATAGTCAATGCTCAACTCGCTTTGGTTAGTTTGGAGGCTAGTAGTATTAGGGAAATTTTTATGTCTCCCACGTGATTTTAAATTAATTTCAATTTTACCATACAAGTTAAAATAATTATATTTCTACCTAAAAGACATTATTTATTTATATTTATGCCTAAAGTTAACATATCCTTCCAACCCTTATCCCCTTAATTCATGCTTATCCCCTTAATTCACGCAGGTTATTTAATAGAGATGTCAGGTGGTATATATTGGTTTATGTTAGTATATATTAGTATATGTTGAAATGAAAAATGTGTTTCATCAAAAAATTATGTCTTTCTTTTTCTTTTTTTTTTTTTTTTTTTTTTAATTTCATACATAAAAGTACATATATAGTTTATAAAACATATTATAACAGGTTACTTATATTTCTTATACAAAAAAAAAATCTTGCAATATACTGAACATATACTTTCTGTACACACAAAATATAATGAACAAATTAAAAAAAATTCTAATATACTTCTAATATACTGAACATATACTTCCTATAGTTATAGTTTATAAACATATTATAATAGGTTAGTTATATTTTCTATACAAAAAAAAAAATAAATAAAAAAATCTTGTAATATATTGAACATATACTCCTTGTACACACAAAATATACTGAACGGATTAAAAAAAATTGAAGGACTACCCACAAAATATACTACTTGTACACACAAAATATACTCCTCGTAAAATCATAAGCATCAAACTCACGTACAAGGACTACCCACCTTACAACAATCGTGATGTGCCTTGTTCCAATCTATCCGGTCATAGGGCTTGACGTGAATTTCTCCTCTTTCCCCTCTCTCAAACTTGCCTACGCCGCCACCCCCACCGCCGCCACCTCCCCTCCGCTCACCGTCACTCTCAAATCGGGCTCCGGTCTCTTCGGTTCCCCGAAGAACTCTCCCCTCGTCATCTCCGCTCACTTTTCGGAGGAGATGGTGAACGTGTGGTTGAGTGATTTTCAGAGGAGATCGAAGGGGCTACGAAATTCGGAAGAGATTTGATTGGTTCTTCATCTTTGCGTCGCCTTCTTTTGCCTTTTTTTTCCGAGGATCGCGTGAGATTTTTGTTTTCGCCATTGACGACTGAGTTTGTGAAAGAGATTTTTTTTTTCGAGATTCGCGTGAGAGGATGAATCGTGTGCAGCGATTTTAATGTTGAGGATTTACTTTCCCGTGTCAATCGATATTCCTTAATTTTCTGATATAGGTATATTAGCAATATTTTATGCTTAATTAGGTAATTACATAAATAATTAAATATTGGTTGTAAATGTATAATATTTTAAGGAAGGAGACGTAGAGGGTGCAATTTCCTCGTAGTATTAATGTCCAGTAAGCGACTGCTGGGCTTACTCAAATTAGGCCCAAAAAAAAATACACTACATAACTGGGCTTGGCTATTAGTGAAATCCAATCTTACCATCATCTCATTTTATTTCTTTATTTTATTTGAGTTAGCGGCCCATTTCGACGCCTAAATAACGAGGTATACTAGGTCAAAGGTAAATTTGTTCCATTTCATATATTTGAATTGAATGCAACTATCTATCGTTTGAAAAAAAAAAAAAGAATTGAATGCAACCCGATTATGATGCTAATTACGTGATTTTTGTGGCAATATTGTATAATTGAAGCTGTTTGGAACTATGGATAATAGTTAACACGTACATAAAAATACGGGAAGAAATGAACATAACACATATTTTAAATATTTAATTGAAATATTATAAAATCTTGAGATGTATGCGACACACACATAACGGTGGGATAGGTGAATCGTTTGGAACTTTATAGTGATGTTAACTAGGAAGATACTACGGTCTCGTTACACCATTCCGTTGGGGTTTGTAACCGTTAGGTCAACTATCTCCGACGGTTACATGATAATCTAACGGTTAGACACTCCGACGGAATAGTTCTATAACTGGACCTTAATTAGCATTTCCCTGTTAATTATAACAACATTGTTCTTTCAAATTATCAAGATTGATGAATTTATTATGGTAAATACTAAATAATTTTGTTTGCCCTTAGTGAAATTAGTGTTGTAGACGAGCCGAGCCGAGCCCGAATACTTGATACTCCCACTCGGCTCGAGTTTTTTCGAGATAGGCTCGAGCTCGCTCGAAATGTTTAACGAGTTGAATGTAAAGCTTGGCTCGACTTGTTATTTGTACATTTGAGCTCGAGCTCGGCTCGTTTGAGGAGAAAATACTCGTTATGAGCTCGGCTCGAGCTCGAAAATCCTGTAAATTATATTTTTTGTTCTTTCATTACAAATAGACAAAACAACAACTCAAATCATAAATCCAAAATAGCTTAACATAATTTTTTGTTTCCAAATATAAATATTACAAAACATTCAAAAACATAATTTTAAGTTTCATTCTCCAAACATAAATATTACAAAACATTCACTAAAATAAAAGAACTACAAAAGGCGTCCGATGAGGCCTTAACTAAGTGCGTCCGATGAGGGCTTGACGACTGACGAGCCGCGGTGGAGAGACCACAAAAGGCGTCCCGCTGTTTTAGGGTTTTCGTATTGACGGTATGACGACTAACGAGACTCGACGAGGAATTGAGGACAAACAATTGAGGATGATGACTGATGAGAGGCGTGAAGATGGATTGAGTTGAGGATGAGAACCGGATGAGCTGAGGATGAGTGGAAGACGACAGTCGACGAGATGAGGAATGAAGATTGAGATTTGAGGAATTGAGGATGGCGACAAAAAAAAAAAATGAGAAGGGGGAAATAAAAAAATGATAAGTGTAGTGGTGTAAGTGTAAGAGAAGAATTAGGGTAATTGGAATGGTCAAAGAGCCTCAAAGATTAAGAGTAAAGGTCAGAAAATTACATAAAAATACGAGCCTAACGAGTAATTAGCGGGCCGAGCCGAGCCGGCTCGTTAATGGAACGAGCCTTTCATAGAGCTTGAGCTCGGCTCGTTTAGCAAACGAACCAAGCCGAACTCGAGCTTTAACGAGTCGAGTCGAGCCAAGCCGAGCTCAGGAGCGGCTCGTTTGGCATAACAGCTCTAGGTGAAATGATACCCTAATTAATATTCTACTATTATATTAAACAAACTAACTAGACAAAGAAATAATAGGTGTGTTTATATTCTTGATTATTATATATGTGAATGTGAATGTAATAAGGAATATTTGAAAAATATTGGTCCACGCATGTGTTTGATTGGCGGCGCAAATTGTGTTGCCACCTTTGACCAAACAACTCATAATTCATCTATAGTATCACACTTTTATTTATTTATTTATTTATTTATTTATTTATTTATTTGTGATGAAAGGATTCAGATTTTTTTGATAAAGGGACAAAACAATTGATACTTAGCTTCGTGTTACTTATTTCACAATCCAATACTTTAAGATATCATCATTTGCCAATCGGATTGTTATATGGTGGATAGATACACGACGAGTCAAATTTTGTGATATCTAATATGATCTTTCACTTATTCTAATCACCACCAAACCTCGCTAGCCAACAAAATAAAATGTTCAAGATAGAGAATCATTATGCATTAATTAACATTGTTTGAACCAGTAACTACAATTATTATTATTATTATTATTATTATTATTATTATTATTATTATTATTATTATTATTATTGTTATTATTGGGTTTAATAAACGGAATAGCACAATAATAAGTAATTATTGTGATATCAAAGGAAGGTATATGAGTCAAATTTTGTGATGTCTAATATGGTCATTATTTTTTTTTAGTCAGTCACGGTATCCGGAACTATGCCCCGATTAATCCGTTGGTCGACCTTGGTCGCACACCTGACAGTGGTGGATAAGTCTTCAACAAGGATTTTCTGCATCCACAAGGACTCGAATTCAACCCTATGAATCGATTAAAACCTTGGATTCATACTAGAACCACGATGATTCAATAAAAGAGACATTGCTTAAGGGACATCAAGTTGTTTACCACTTGAGTCAACCTTGTTGGTTCAAATATGATCTTTCACTTATTAGTCTTATTATAATCACCACCAAACTTTACTAGCCAACAAAATTTTCAAAATAGGGAATCATTATAATGTATTAAATAACATTGTTTGGACCAATATTTTACAAATCTCATTTGTGTTTAATAAACTGAGCAGCTCAATATGAGATAAGGAGAATATATTGCCATTGAGTTAGGATTGATTTAATCTGTTTAACAATTCCGGTAAGAGTGTTTTTGTTTGGCCTTTTATCTCATTGATTTTTTTTTTTAATTTTTTTTTTTTTTTATCGAATCAAAACATATCTATACTTTTTCCTTGTTGGGATTATTCATATTTTTCTTGTTTGGTTGAACAATTATTTGAATATATTAATGTTTATAAGCCCAACGACGTCGCATGATATGATATGGTACTAGTAATGTTACACAAATACATTGCGTTTGGATGAGATGACTTTTGTCTCTTCCAGCTTAACTAGTGGTCTCGAGTTCGAGCCCTGAGAATGCTGCAGTGTTAAAATTCTTGAGGGAGAGCTTTGCCGCCCTTGTGGTCCTACCCGGCTCGATTCCGAATTAGTCGGTTCCCCTGTGGATTCAGAAATCGGAAGGTCCTTGTACCAAAAAAAAAAAATTAACAACTACTATGCATTTGGAGGGCATAAAAGTCAATCCACAGGACAAGATAAATGATGGGATAACCGAAACTAAACCAATGTTATGTTCGGGCCGTTGACTAGGAGAACAGGCTTCTTGACTCGGGGTCAAGGCGAGAACCGAAACTAAACATATATTTGGATCGTAATTTTGTAAGGACCCATTGGCCATATAAGGTTTGTGAAAACATGACCCGTCGGTCGGCCCAAAACCAGTCGGGCCCAATTGGCCATTCGATCACACTATGGCTTGTGGATGACGTAATGGCTTACATATGCATCTCCAATTGCATTTAAAAAAACAGAGTCGCTTCCCGGAAGCAGCACGGTTCTAGAAACCCACCTAACAATTTGGGGACTGTTGGAATATCACTTGTGAGTGTCCCACATTGATTCTATAGGGAAAATGAGTCTAGTATATAAGCCTAGTGGGCTACTCCTCTCATCACCAATTGGTTTTGGGATGGAACCTCACTAAGGTGCATCTAGGCTCACCCTCTTATGGTGCGCCTTCATCTGGTGGGACCGCACTCTCTTCCCCCGTTTCTAATATGGTATCAGAGCGGGCCTGTCCTAGGACCTGCAATGACTCTCTCTACCCGGCCTGCTCTGGGCTTGGGCTTATCTCTCTACTCGGCCTGCTATGTGGGCTTGGGCTTACGAAGGACTCACAAGTGAGGGGGCGTGTTGGAATATCACTTGTGAGTGTCCCACATTGATTCTATAGGGAAAATGAGTCTAGTATATAAGCCTAGTGGGCTACTCCTCCTATCACCAATTGGTTTTGGGATGGAACCTCACTAAGGTGCATCTAGGCTCACCCTCTTATGGTGCGCCTTCATCTGGTGGGACCGCACTCTCTTCCCCCGTTTCTAATAGGGACACTCCAAAAATAAAAACAAAAACAAACTTTTTTTTTTCCCTTTCCTTTCTATTCATTTGATTTTGTATTATAAAAAATTAATCTACAATTAAATTAGGCATCCAAACAATTGCATCGAGAAATTTACTTTGGCTATTTTTTGTAGTACACAATTACATAAGTTTAAACATCTTTTGTTCTATATTTTTACCATTAATCACCGCATAGATCTGCACGAGTATGTGTTGATTATCTTATCATGGAAAGAATGAAATATTGCTCTTATTGTGAACAAAAATATCAATTTATATCATGAGTAGTGTTGTTAAATTAAACGAGTTTGGCTCGACCCGACTCGACTCGTTAAGGCTCGAGTTTGGCTCAAACTAGCCGAGCTAGACACTACAAAATAATAGTTATATTCCAACGGAAAATCCTATGATAATATATTTCAATGGAAATTCCAACGGATATTCCAATGGTATAGCTTCTGTTGGAATGGTTCCAACGGAAATATTCCTTTGGAATGTGTTTTTCATTGGAATTTTAGATGGAATTTGATGATTCCAACGGCTATATTTCCAACGGCTTTTTACCGTTGAAATATACAAATTCCAACGGAGTTTTTATTTCCACCCCCGTTGAAAAATCCACCGTTGGAATCGTCAAAATCAAACGGAAATTCCAATGGAAAACCAATTCCAACAGAATATTTTTGTTGGAATTTTCATTGGAATCCATTGAAAAATTCCAACGGAAATAATAGTATTGAAATATCCGTTGGAATTTTCGTTGGAATAATTCTTTTGGAAAAAATTTCCGTTGGAATTTCATCATTTTCTTGTAGTGAGAGTTCCTTTAAAGCTCGTTTGATTAACGAGCCGTGCTCGACTCAGCTCGAAAAGAGAATTTTTATTTAACTTTTT